GGGTTGGGAGGGCTTCATGGAGAAACTGGCCCCCGGCTCCATGCAGGCGGAGGATGGAGTTAGACAGGAGGACAGGGATGGGCGGCGCAGGGGCGCGGGTGGGAAGACTGGCCAGGCCGGGGGCGGGGCGGCCGTGGTCACATGTGAGCCCGAGGGCCCCTCCCTCCCTGCAGGCCGAGGCCCAGCCCAGCTGGGTCAGTTCTGTGAGAGGGGCCAGTCCTCCTCTCTGGAAAACGTACTGAATAAAGACTGTGAAAATGCATTTCAAGGTATCGATGGAGCCTTATGTGCTGGCACTTCCAGGCCAGGGTCCCTGCCTCAGGGAGCAGTCTACACCCGCTGCCCCAGAACCTCCGGGCGCCGCCCCTTTCTGCACCCTTGCTGTGCAGTACGGCAGCCGCGGACCACACGGGGGCTGAGCAGCGACACGGGCCGCTATGACCGCAGAACCGAACGCTGACTCTCATTTTGTTTCCCATTTGAAAAGCCGCCTAAAGCCCGTGGCCACTGCACTGGACAGGGTGGGGCGATAGAGGAGTGTCACCCTCGCACACAGACTGTAACGGGGTGGGGGTGGGGTGTCGTGCAGGGAGAAAGCGGCTTCAATGGGCAGGGAGTGGACGTGCTCGGGGAGGCCCTTTTGAGGAAGCACCTTGTGAGGTGAGATGTGAACAGAGCGTGAGGTGAGCCAGGAGGGCTCTGGGCGAAGGACATTCTGGGCAGAGGGAAGAGCAGGTGCAAAGGCCCTGGGGTGCGTTAGGGAAACCTATGTGGCTGGTGTGGAGGCCCCAGGACATGAGGAGATGGGGACAGAGGGGGATACGTGGCAGAGGGGCTGTTTCCCACCCCCCTCATCTCTTCCCTCCTAGCCTGCTCCGGCTGAGCCCACCCTGCACGGACAGACTCTCCTCCTGCTCTGTGGCTGCCCCTCGGGGCAGAGCGCCAACGCCTCCCTCCTCCCCGAGGAGCTGGCCTGGATCTCCGCGCAGAGGCCAGCAGCCGCCCCGGCCCAGGAGTCCCTCCTCCTGGTGCAGACGTCTGTGCTCCCTCCCTGGGGGCCCGCCGGGGGCCCCGCTGCCCTGCTGCTCCAGGCAGTGTTTCCAGAAGAGCCCCAAATCCAACAGGGGCTGGACACCAGGCCCCTGCCTGCTCCCCGAGCCATGGACCACCCCCCGACAAGGAGCCACGGTGGCCCCCTCTGCTGGGAGGCCCCACAGATTCCCCACCTCCGCTTTCCTGGGACAGGGCCCGACCATCCGAGCGGCCCTTGGGAGGAGGGGGGAGGAGCCCCGGAGTGGAGAGCGGAGGCGTGGGGGGCGGGCCCGCCGAGGGGCCCTGCGCCTGGGGCGGCGTCGAGGCTAGACAAGGCCCCTTGGAGCTGGTGCCCGGCCTGGAGACGCTCCTGGGAGAGCTGGTGGCTCCTGACCGTGGACGGGTAAGGCAGAGGCTCCTGTGTGCCCAGGGTCCAGCTGAGTCTGACCAGCCCCCCTGTGTGTGCCCTCCATGCGGGAGGTGGGAGGAGGAGGGTAAAGACCCCCAGCTGTGCCAGGCCAAGCTGCCACCTGTCATGCCTCATCCCAGGGAAACTTCTGAGCAGGGTCCAGCCCAGGGCTGTGAGGCAGGAGCCACGCCCCTGTTCTGCAGAGGAGGGCTCTGGGACCCCAAGAGCTGTGATCCCCAAGGCCACACAGCCCTGGGCTGGACCCGAGCTCTGGTTCTGATGC